GGTGATGGTGGCAATATGGCGGAGGTCCTGGTTTATAGTAGAGGAAGGCTCATGGTGGTGGATGTGCACAGAGCTAGTTATGGAGGTGGTGATGGTGGATGACAATGATTTGAGGTGATGGTGGCAACTATGGCGGAGGTCTGGTATATTAGTAAGGGGCTCTGTGGTGGTGGATGTTGGTGGCAGCAAGCTTAGTTATGGATGACGGTGATGGTGGTACAAGATTTGGAGTGAGTGAACTATGGAGGAGTCGGGTTACAGTAGTGCAGGGCTATGTGGTAGAGGTTGCAGCAGAGGTAGTACGGAACGGAGGCGGTTGACGTGGATACAATGGATTTGAGGTGATGGTGGCACGTATGGCGGACCTGGTTATAGTAAGTGAGAGGAGCTAGTGGTGTGGTGGAGGTGGTGGCAGCAGAGCTAGTTATGGAGGAGGTGATGGTGGATACAATGGATTTGGAGGTGATGGTGGCAACTATGGCGGTGGTCCTAGTTATAGTAGTAGAGGGGGCTATGGTGGTGGACCAGGATATGGAAACCAAGGTGGTGGATATGGCGGTGGTGGAGGAGGATATGATGGTTACTATGAAGGAGGAAATTTTAGAGGTAACTATGGTGGTGGTGGGAACTATAATGATTTTGGAAATTATAGTGGACAACAGCAATCAAATTATGGACCCATGAAAGGGGGCAGTTTTGGTGGAAGAAGCTCGGGCAGTCCATATAGTGGTGGTTATAGATCTGGTGGTGGAATTAGTGGATATGGTAGCAGAAGGTTCTAAAAACAGCAAAAAAGGGCTACAGTTCTTAGCAGGAGAGAGAGCGAGGAGTTGTCAGGAAAGCTGCAGGTTACTTTGAGACAGTCATCCCAAATGCATTAGAGGAACTGTAAAAATCTGCCACAGAAGGAACGATGATCCAGTCAGAAAAGTTACTGCAGCTTAAACAGGAAACCCTTCTTGTTCAGGACTGTCATAGCCACAGTTTGCAAAAAGTGCAGCTATTGATTAATGCAATGTAGTGTCAATTAGATGTACATTCCTGAGGTCTTTTATCTGTTGTAGCTTTGTCTTTTTCTTTTCATTACATCAGATATACTGCCCTGTAAATTGTGGTAGTGGTACCAGGAATAAAAAATTAAGGAATTTTTAACTTAAAAAAAAAAAAAAGAGTTAACTGTATAGTATGATTCTAACCATATGATAATCTTGAAAAGGCAAAGCTATAGAAAAAAGATCAGTGGTTACCAGGGGTTAGGGAAAGGAGGGATAAAAAGGTAGAGCACAGAGGAATTTTAGGGGCAGTGAAACTATTCTGCATAATACCACAATGGTGGATACATGTTTCCAAACCAACAGAAAAGACAGCACCCAAGAGTGAATCCCCATGTAAATTGTGCACTGTGGGCAATACTGAAGCGTCAGGGTAGATCCACTGATTGTAACACATATACCCCTGGGGGGGGGGGGAAGCTGATAATGCGGGAGGCTGTACAAGGAAAGGAATAAATACATGGGAAATCTCTGTACTTTCAGTTTTGCCATGTACCTAAAACTGCTTAAAAAAATAAAGTTTATTAATGTTTTTAATAAAATGCAGGCATGGTTTAAAATTAGTCAAAATAGCCAACTCAAATTACTAAGATTCTCCTTTCTCTAAGACATTTCTCACCAACCTCTGCTTCCTTTTTCTTTGCACGAACTTTTTCCACTTCCATGAGAATCTTCTGGGATTCATCCACATTTCCTTCAGCCCCTAGCTGCTCAGCTTTAGCAAGGAGTTTTCCTATTTCTTCGTTCAACTCATGTACTTTTTCTGCCTGAAAGGAGAGAGAAAGAAACCAGTAAGTAGACATCTAAAAACAAGAGTCTCAATGCAAAGGAAACAAGTGTTTCCCCTGCTGCATTTGCAGTTTGTCCTACTAACAGTAAACAGAACAGATAAAGACCCACACATGCATCCTTATTGCCACCACTTAGATTCTGACACTGAATCCTGTTTGCTGTATTTCAATGAAGCATCTCTGTCACTTCAAATGTTCCAAGGATTATATGTGGTCATTTTCCAGGCTTTTTTTGTGTGTTTTGTACAACAGTTCAATCTTCTGAGTATGGGTAATGTCTAGGTTTAAAAACACAAACTTGGCCAGGTGCCATGGCTCACGTCTATAATCCCAGCTGCTACTTGGGAGGCTGAGGAAGGAGGATCACTTGAGCCCAGGAGTTTGAGGTTGCTGTGAGCTAGGCTGATACCATAGCACTCTAGCCCAGGCAACAGAGTTAGACTGTCTCAAAAAAAAAACCAAAAAAAAACACATACACACAAACTTGTGCTATAAACAAAACACCTAATTAATGAGATTTACCTTTAGAAACAAAATAGCACTTTTGGTCCAATTAGCAATTACATATATCTTAAGAAATGCTTTCTATTCAACATTGAATAGAAAAAACAATGGGGCCAGGCGTGGTGGCTCATGCCTGTAATCCTAGCACTCTGGGAGGCTGAGGCAGGCGGACTGCTCGAGGTCAGGAGTTCGAAACCAGCCTGAGCAAGAGACGCCACAGCACTCACTCTAGCCTGGGCAACAAAGTGAGACTCTGTCTCAAAAAAAAAAAAAGAAAGAAAAAGAAATACCACACTATTAACGGGCATAATTGTGAAGTGAAAAAGGCCCTTTCTAAACAAGAGATGCAGTCTGCTGGATCACGGGGAGGTGGATCTGGCAACTTTATGGGTCGTGGAGGAAACTTTGGAGGTGGTGGAGGTAATTTTGGCTGTGGTGGAAACTTTGTGGAAAAGGGGGCTGTGGTGGTGGTGGCAGCAGAGGTTACGGAAGAGGTGATGGTGGATACAGTGGATTTGGAGGTGATGGTGGCAACTATGGCGGAGGTCCTGGTTATAGTAGTAGAGGGGGCTGTGGTGGTGGAGGTGGTGACAGCAGAGCTAGTTATGTAAGAGGTGACGGTGGATACAATGGATTTGGAGGTGATGGTGGCAACTATGGCGGAGGTCCTGGTTATATTAGTAGAGGGGGCTGTGGTGGTGGAGGTGGTGGCAG